CGCTGCCCTTTGCACGGGGCTTCCACTTTGCGGTTTCCTGTATAGCACGTCCCCATCTTTGCCCTACACCCGGTCTCTGGGGCTGGAGTCAGTTCTCTCGTGTACCGCCAGAGGGAGCCCGCGGCAGAGGCAGGGCCGGCCTCCCCCAGGCTGACACAGCAGCAGGCTGGGCTATTCTTAGCTTCAGTTTACTTTCACTCTTGAAAGTCACGCAGAGGCGAGTCAAAGTTCCCACCCGGCTAGAGAGGGAGTCCTTCCACGCCAGGAGAACCCGGAGTTGGAGAACCTCATAATGGGGATAGAGGACGATACAGTGACAATGGCTGCCAGGGGTCCTCTGGTGTCCAGCAGCCCCCGGGGATAGCCAGGCAGGGTGCTGGGCGCACACACACGCACACGCACACGCACACGCACGAGCCTTGGGCTGGACACGCCCAGGCTGGCGTCTGCACCCCGAGGCTTCCTCACTGGGCAGCCCTGGGCAGACCAACCTCTGTGTGTGTAGCTCCTGCCACGTGTCACTTGGGTACTGGACCGCTTGGAGCCCGGGCTGAGCGGGCAGTGGAAAGCCCCAGAAGTCTCTTTCAGACCTGAGATGGTTCGGGCGATTCTCAGGGCTCCAGCAGCACCGGAGCTTGGGCGCTGGGCAGAACTGGAAACAGGCTGTCTCCTCTCCCCAGGCCTTCCCTGGCCCTGCCCCCTCGGGCCCTTTGCTCGCTCCCATGAGGCTCCCCTACCCCAGCTCTGGCCTGACTTCTGCCCGTGAGGCCCCTGTGCACACACTGTGGCCAGCTGGAAGTCCACTCTGGCCAGCAGTCACCCATGTTGACTTGGCACTTCTGTTTTTTTTTTTTTTCCTTAAACTTCCATTTATTTATTTATTTATTTATTTATTTTGAGACGCACAGAGATTGCACTCGGCATTTCTGACGGTCTTCCCTGTGCCCTCTCCCTGCCCAGACTGGGGAGGCCAGGAAAGAGCGCTCCACCCTAGAGACCCCTTAAGGCACCAGGAAGGCTGGAGGGGACCCCGAGTGGCACCGAGGGTGAGTGCTGGAGGCAGCAGGTGCAAGGCTAAGGGGCACCCCCAGTAGGGTCCCTGGGGGCCGCAGGCACTCGGCTCCTGCCCTAGCCGCGATCCCAGCGTTAGTCTAGGGGCCAGCCAGGGCGGGGGCGGGGGTCCCGGCCCGCGCCCTCGGGTACCTCCCCGGCTTGGGCCCGGCTTCTGGACTCGGATGCCCGCGACCCGACGTCTGTCGACCCGGAAAACCCCGTGAGCCGGCGCCGGAAGGCGGGGAGGCGGGGCCAGCGAGCCAGGGCCGCCGCCGCCGCCGCTGCCGCCGCCGCCGCCCGGGGCCTGTGCGACCCTCGGCGGGGCGCGTGGGGAGCAGGAGCCGGGGCCGGGGTGGGCCGTCCCGGGCTCGGAAGGGCCGCGGGCCTCGGTCACCCCGCGAGCGCGGAGCGGGCCTATAACCTGGGCACACCCAGGTAAAGGTGCGGCCGAGGGCGCGGCGCCGGCGTGGGGAGGGGACAACCCAGGCCCATGGGGCCTGCAGGCCTGGGGGCTGCTTGGGGGCGGGGGCTGGGGTCCGGTTCCTGGGTGAGGCCAGGTTCTGTATTTCTGACCTTCGGAGTGTCAGTGCGTGCGTTTTCCATGTGAAGAAACTGAGGCACGAGCGGGCGGTCTGCACTCCAGTAAGCAGCCCCCCCCCCGCAGTCACTGGGTGTGGGGGGGGGCGTGGGTGTCAGAGCAGCGCACCTGCGTGGGGGCAGCACACCTGGCCCTGCCAATGGCAGGTGATCAGGAAGCTTGGTAACGGTTGAGGAGGTGCGATTAGTTTTGGTGAGCACAGGCGAGTGCTTTTGCCTTTTACAAAACCAGTGGGGGGTGCAGTGGCTGGCTGGCTGTGGGGGGGGGGGGCAGTCCAGCCGCTCCTCAGCCCTGGATTGCAGAAGCAGAGCCCCATGACCTGGCCCGATATATTTCAGATATCTCCTGCAGCCTACAGGGCGTTCGTACAAGAAACGGGGCCGAGGAGTTGGCATTGGCTTCCCTCGTGCCTTACAGCTGGGCTTCCCGTGACCCGGGTCAGCCTTGTGCACACATCTGAGTCTGAACTGGGTGTGACCCTGGGGGGTGGAGGCGACACTGCCCGTGAGGCTGTGCCCCTCTGAGTGCTCTCCTGCTTCCTCCCTCTTCACCCCTTCTGGCCATGCGCAGACAAGCACCTCGGGGTTGGAGGACACGCTGGCTTCCCTCTCTGGAGACTTTTTTTTTTTAAAGAGCTCCAGAGATGGGTTTACAAAGCTGCCTTCCACAAGAATCTGCTTTTTTTTTTAAAGATTTATTTATTTATTTGAAAGTCAGAATTACAAAGGGGGGTGGGGAGGTCTTCTATCTGCTGCTTCACTCTCCAATTGACCACAACAGTCGGAGATGCGCCGATCCAAAGCCAGGAACTTCCTCCAGGTCTCCCACGCAGGTGCAGAGGCCCAAAGACTTGGGCCATCTTCTGCTGCTTTCCCAGGCCATAGCAGAAAGCTGGATCAGAAAAAGAGCAGCCGGGACTCGAACTGGCGCCCATATGGGATGGCAGCACTGCAGGTGGCGGCTTTACCCACTAAGCCACAGTGCCAGCCCCCACAAGAGTCTTTTGGTGCTCCAACTTCTGAAATGATTCTTGCAAGGACATGAAGGGGCAGCCACAATGCTCTCATCGACCCCTCACTACCCCTGTCTGCAGAGGTTGAGGCTTGTGCCTGGGTCTGGCCTGCTTGGGCTTGGTGGAGGTTGGGGGTAGTAGCACCATAAGGCTCTGTCAGCCCAGGTGGGTTTGGGATTACAGGGAGTGAAGTGTGCATATTTCTTGCTGTGGAATCCCAGAGTATAGAAAACCCATGTCAGAAGTGGCATCCGGGCACCTGCAGGCCAAGAGTGGCAGGGCCTGGGCTGTGCCTCCTCTTTTCCTAGAGAGTTGACAGATGAAAAGCTCGGGTATGAACCAGAGCTAAGCTGGCAGATGGTTCAGTATCTTACAGTGGGATGTGCAGTTTTCTGACCAGTGTTATGGCTGGCGCCCCGTGCTGATCCAAAGGCAGGAGCCAGGTGCTTCTCCTGGTCTCCCATGGAGTGCAGGGCCCAAGCACTTGGGCCATCCTCCACTGCCTTCCTGGGCCACAGCAGAGAGCTGGCCTGGAAGAGGGGCAACCGGGAACAAATCTGGCACCCCGACCGGGACTAGAACCCGGTGTGCTGGCGCCGCTAGGTGGAGGATTAGCCTAGTGAGCCGCGGCGCCAGCCCCTCTGGGTGTCTTGATCCGTGTTTGCAGCAAGGCTCATTTTGTTTGCTTTTCAGGGCTGTGGCCACCTGGCAAGCCAGACTGTGCCCTCCGGCTCCCTGTTTCTGGGTGGCTTCTGCTAGGTCCAGCGCCTTCCCTGTGATTAGCGATGCTGTTGTCATGACGTCCATGTGTGGACAACCTTGCCCACTGGAGGAGTGGAAGGCAGCTGCCTTCCAGGGAGGAGGAAGAGCCGGTGGAGCCGTCTGGACAGGGCAGCTGGAGCAGGGACCCGCTGGCCCGAGTCTTCGAGGCCTTGGGCAACCCCGTGAGGCCTCTCTGTTCATTGCCTTTCGCCCCTCACTTGGCTGGAGAGGCCTGGAGAAGCCTGTTTGCAGTGTGGGAAAGAAGGAGGACTCAGCAAAGGCCCAGACACCCCGGCCATGCTCTCCTAGGGTCTTGCCTCGCACAGTTGGGTCAGAAGTACAGAACCTCGCCTCCCCAGGCCCTCTGTAGTTAGCACAGCCCCACGTGGCTCCTGGGCACTTGTGGGAGTCATGGATGCCAAGGATATCAGAGGGAAGGAGGAGGGGAGATGGAGAGCGCCCTGCCCCGCCCTTTCTGGGACCAGGGTGTGGACGGACACATGGTGGCTGTGAACACTCGGTGCCCTCTCCCAGGGCTGGGAGATCCGGGTTACGTACCTAAGAGACTTCTGGTTCTGGGTTCTCCTCGGCTCCAAAGCAGGTCGCATAACCCAGTTACTGAGCAGTAGACTCTACCAGTCCCTTGCGGATTCTTGGTGTGTTCAGTCTCTGATTGCTTCATGGGTTCCTGAATGTTTCTTAATGTTTATTTTCAGCTACTTGAAGGGCAGAGAGAGAAAGAAAGAGAAAGAGGGGGATCAGTCTCCCATCTGCTGGTTCACTCCCCAAATGCTCACAATAGCTAAAGCTGGGCTGGGTGAAAGCCAGGGACCTGTAACTTCATCCGGGTCTCCCACACGGCGGCAGGCGTGCAAACACTTGGGCCGTCGTCCGCTGACTCCCAGGGTGCACTGGCAGGGAGCGGGGTGAGGAGCACCTGTCCCGGCCAGGCTGTCAGTGTCCTGTGTGTGGAGCTGTCCCCTCTGAAGAGCAGCAGGGCGGGGACGCTGGGGGTGCATGTCCGTACCAGGGAGGTCATTTAGAGCCGCTCTGAGTCTGCCGCACGCCAGCCCCAGACGCTTTGCCTCCACCCTGCTCACACCTCACGAGTGTGCAGCCCATGGGAGGCCCACCTCCAGCCAGGCAAATGCCCGAGTGGGCCTGGATCCCGTCCTCTGCCCTTCCCCGGCTTGGTGTCAGCGCAGACGTCCCGTCACGTAGAAGAGGCCACAAGGATCCTGAGACATCCTGGGCTCCGCCAGACATCAAGGGCGGCCTGCAGGAGAGGGCACCCCCATGGCCGGGGTGGCGCCTTCATCTGTCCCGAGTCAGCAGCTAATCGGAGGGCAAAGGAGTCCTTGTGTCCCCTCTGCTGCTTCTGTTTGCTCGTAGCTGGCTGCTGCCCCGAGTGCTCTGTGATGGGGGCGTCTCACTGCCGCCTGCACACAGTGGGGCTGCCGCCTGCACACAGTGGGGCTGCCGCCTGCACACAGTGGGGCTGTGGTTCCCTCCAGAACTTCGGGGCTCTTCCGCTCATGAGTGCTCTCCCCTCGGCTTTCCCCAGGGCCTGCCAGGATGCCCGTCATGGTAGAGGACATCATGAAGCTGCTATGCACCCTCTCCGAGGACAGGAAGATGAAGGCGGCCGTCAAGCACTCAGGGAGGGGCGCCCTGGTCACGGGCACCGTGGCCTTCGTCGGTGGCTTGGTGGGCGGCCCGCCAGGACTAGCCGTGGGTAAGCGCAGGCCAGGCAGCTTGGGCAGGGGCAGGGGGTTTTTGAGGTTCATGCTCAAGGTGCCTGGCCCCCGCCTTGCCCCAGGGATGCCTCCGGGTGTCTGGGCCCCTGCCTCCTGAGCACCAGGTCATTTCAGAAAGGAACCAGGGAGGAAGCTGAGCACCTTACGATGAGTTTTGCAGCAGCTGGTGTCCTCCTTTTGAAAACAGAAAGTGCAGAAAAACCACAGATGGGGAGAAAGCTGGCCGCTACCCCTGGAGCTGTCACCTGCCCCTCCTGGGCTGCCCGTTCCACCTGGGAATGAAGCTCTGGCTGATTCCCTGTCCTTCCTCGGAGCTGGGATGAAGTTGTGTCCTTTGGGCAGGAGCAGGAGGGATTGCTGTGCCCTGGCTGTGGGGTGTGGCCTGACCCCTGGGCTAGGGTGCAGCTGAGGAGGGGCTGGGGGAGGCCTCCCTGGAGGTGGCCCCAGGTGCATCCTGCAGCACAGGTTCGCTCGTGTCCTGGGGCTGCCTTGGGCGGTACAGGGGTTTCCCCAGTGCCTCCTCCGTGTGGGGCCGGGGGGAGAGCTCCCCGCCTGGTGGAAGCCTTTCCAACGGCTGCCGGTCTTCCTACGGATGTGGGCTGGAGAGAGGCCGCTTTTCTGCCGAGGCTGGCGTCTGTTTCCAGCTCGCTGGCCAGGCTTCCTGGGCTGTTCTCTCCTTGGGTAGCAGGATTGACATTCAAGGACATTGGGGCGAAGCCACAGGACAGGAAGAGTAAGTGTGCGGGCGGCCCCAGACCTCCCCTCGAGAGAAACTCCTGGAGCGAACGAGCAAGGGAAGAGAGGAGGCCGTTTCCTCCTTCCTCAGTGGCACGCTGGGTTCTTAGCCCCTTGGGAGCGCGCAGGGGAGGGCTTCCTGGGGTGGTTTGATCCCGTAGCCTCACCCAGAGGCCACTCTGGGAGTATGCATTGCATTGGGACTGAGTAAAAGCTGGCAGAGACCTGGGCAGTTGCTGCTTCCAGCTCTTGACCGTGGGAGGAGGGGGTGGGGGGAGCATCATTTTACCGAGAAAACAAAGGAATTCTCTTCTCCAAAGAGCTAGTAAGTTGCCGGTGGATGTCCCGGAGACGCCGCGCACTGAGTGCTGCTCTGAGTCACATACTGCTGTTCTCGGGGAGGTGCGGTGCACACGGTGTGACTCTCGTGGGCTCCGAGCGTTCCACTGGGGTCCTGGGGCACAGTCCCAGAGAACTTGTAAATCTGCCTTCCCCAAATGCTCCTCCCCTCAGGAGACTTGGTGCACCCTGTCTAGGAGCAGCGTCCAGCCTCCGACTTGAGGCTGGGGCAGCGTGGCGGGGCAGCGGGTTAAGCCGCCACCTGAGATGCTCAGCACCTGCTCCGCCGCTAAGCCAGCTCCTGCTAACGTGCCTGGGAAAGCAGCAGAAGGTGGCACAAGTGCTTGTGAAGGGGGAGAGTGAATTATTAATTTTTCCATGCTCTAGCCATACACCTGGAGAGGCAATCTAAGCACATGCATGTGTAAGATGCCCAAAGTGATCAAGTTTTATTGAAAAGGAGAAAGCAAACACACACACTCACATACTCATGAGCATGAGTTGCCCCACACAGAGAAATGCCCATTGTGAGTAGGCAGTGGGCCCGAAGGGAGACAAGGGGGGCTGGTGCCCTGGTGTAGTGGGTAAAGCTGCCACCTGCCATGCCTGCAACCCATATGGCTGCCAGTTCCAGTCCTGGCTGGTCTGCTTCCCATCCAGCTCGCTGCTAATGTGCCTGGGAAAGCAGTGGAAGATGACCCAAGTCCTTGGGCCCCTGTACCCATGTGGGAGGCCTGGAAGAAGCTCCTGGCTTCTGCTGGCATAGCCCCAGCAGCTGTTGCATCCACTTGGGAGTGAACCAGCAGATGAAAGATCTCTCTCTCTCTTTCTTTTTTTTTTTTTAAGACAGAGTTACAGAGAGAGGTAGAGAGGTAGAGGCAGAGAGAGGGAGGTCTTCCATCCGCTGGTTCACTCCCCAACTGGTCTCAACAGCCGGAGATGTGCCAATCCAAAGCCAGGAGCCAGGAGCTTCTTCCGGTGCAGGGGCCCAAGGGCATGGGCCATCTTCTATTGCTTTCCCAGGCCATAGCAGACAGCTGGATCAGAAGAGGAGTAGCCGGGACTAGAACCAGCACCCATAAGGGATGCTGGCGCTTCAGGCCAGGGCTTTAACCCACTGCACCACAGCACCAGCCCCAACAGAGCAGTTTCATCATCCAAAACATCCTCTCTGCTGTCCAGTTAATCCCTCCCTAGGTCCCATCCCATAGTAATCACTAATCTTTCTGTTTTCTCCCTTCCTCTCTCTCTCTGTGTAACTCTTTCAAATATATTTTTTTAAAAAAGACTTTAAAAAGGAGGAAAGGGTAGGGGACAGGAAACAGCACCCCAGTTTCTCCTCTGCTTGTCTCCTGTGGCAGAGAGAGCTTCCCCAAGTTGTTGGCCTCTTTTCTGAGGGGTGGGGGTGTGTGCCTCTGCAGGCATAAAGCCACCTGGGAGTTTTATGATGCCTCCATAAAATTCCCTGTGTTCTTTACTGTGCATATCTTCATGGCACCTTCCTCCCAAGTTCTGGATGAAAGGGGCACTTTGACAAGGAGGAGGATAGCTTTACACGTGGGGTGGGGGCTCGTGGCTTACTGGTGCTCTCAGCTCAGCAGGTCCTAGACTAGCTGCCTGCCTATCCCCTGCCACCCACAGGGGAGACCCAGATGGAGTTCTTGGCTCCTGAATTTGGCTGGCCCAGCCCGGCCAGTGTGGCCATTTGGGGAGTGAACCAGTGGATGAAAGATCTCGCTCTTCCACCTGCCCCCTCTCTGTAACTCTGCCTTCCAAGTAAAAAGGAGACTTGAGGCGGACCCAGCAAGTGTCTGCCTCAGGCCAGAGCAGGTGCCCCCTGCAGCGGCTTCCGCGTGGCTTTCTGCAGGGGTGTGGACTTTGCTGCCTGCTGTCTGAGTCAGCCCTCGGTGGGTTCTCTCTGGCCCATGCTGCACTTTTTAAAATAAGGTTTTCCGGCCGGCACCGTGGCTCACTAGGCTAATCCTCCGCCTGTGGCGCCGGCACACCAGGTTCTAGTCCTGGTCGGGGCGCCAGCTTCTATCCCGGTTGCTCCTCTTCCAGTCCAGCTCTCCGCTGTGGCCCAGGGGTGCAGTGGAGGATGCCTAACTCCTTGGGCCCTGCACCTGTATGGGAGACCAGGAGAAGCACCTGGCTCCTGGCTTCGGATCAATGTGGTGCACCGGCCGCAGCCCGCCGGCCGCAGTGGCCACTGAGGGGTGAACCAACAGAAAAAGGAAGACCTTTCTCTCTGTCTCTCTCTCTCTCTCACTGTCCACTCTGCCTGTCAAAAAAAAAAAATAAGGTTTTCATTTTGGAAGAATAGTAGATCGACAGGAAGCTGCAATACATTCCCACGTATCTCTCACTTAGGTTTAATTACCCTAATGTTAACAAGGATCATGGTACATTTATCAAAACATTACTGTTAACCACTGAGATTTGGATTTCACTGGTTTGTTTAAGATTTATTTATTTATTGAATGGCAGAGCAGCTGGGAGGTGGGGGGACAAAAGAAAGAGATCTTCATGTGCTGGTTCACTCCCCAGATGGCTGCAGTGGTCAGGGCTGGGCCAGGATGAAGCCGGGAGCCCAAACCTCCATCCTGGTCTCTCCTGGATGCCAGGGACCATCTGCTGCTGCTTTTCTGGCACAGTAACACGGAGCTGGGAAGTGGGGCAGCCAGGACTTGAGCCAGTGCTACAGTATGGGATGTTGGTATCGCAAGTGGCAGTTTCTTCTCTTTTTTTAAAAAAAGATTGATTTATTGGGGCCGGTGCTGTGGCACAGTGGGTTAATGCCCTGGCCTGAAGCATCAGCATCCCATATGAGCACCGTTTCAAGATCCGGCTGCTCCGCTTCCGATCCAGCTCTCTGCTGTGGCCTGGGAAAGCAGTAGAAGATGGCCCAAGTCCTTGGGCCCTGCACCCATGTGGGAGACCTGGAAGAAGCTCCTGGCTCCTGGCTTCAGCTCAGTGCAGCCCCAGCTGTTGCAGCCAATTGGGGAGTGAACCATCAGATGGAAGACCTCGCTCTCTCTGCCTCTCTGTGCCTCTCCTCTCTGTGTAACTCTGACTTTGAAATCAGTAATAAAAAAAGAATTGAACCTCAACCCTTTAAAAACAGATTGATTTATTTATTTGAAAGGCAGAGTTAGAACAGGGGAGAGAGAGCGAGAGAGAGAAAAAGATCTTCCATGTACTGGTTCACTCCTCAGATGGCCACAATGGCCAGGGTTGGGCCAGGCCAAACTCTGGAGCTAGGAGCTTCATCCGGGTCTCCCATGTGGGTGTAGGGGCACTTGGCCCATCTTCTGCTGCTTTCCCAGGCACATTATCATGGAGCTGGATCAGAAGAGGAGCAGCTGGGACTTGAACTGGCGCCTGTATGGGATGCTGGTGCTGCAGGTGGTGGCTTAACCCACTCCGCCCCAGTGCCGGCCCCAAATTTCACCAGGTTTTGCTTGGTGATCCTTTCTTGTTTGGTTCTAGGTTCCAGTCCACAATCCCACAGTGCTTATAATCTGTTTCCTAGTCTCCCCTGGTCTGTGCCAGCTGGTCAGACTCTCCTGCTTTCGTGACCTTAGCGGTTAGGGGAGGAACCGGGCAGGTGTTTGATTTGTCCTGTGTGTGTCTCATGGTTAGACTGGAGTCGTGGGCCTTGGGAAAGAAGTCTGCTCAGAGGTGACGGTCCTCCCTTGCATCACCCCAGGGCACACGGCATCCATTTGGCACCCCGGCGATGCCGGCCTGGCTCCCTTGGGGAAGGTCACGCACGCTGGGTTTTTCCACTGTGAAGTCTGTTTCCCTTTTCACACACTGTTCTCCAGGGTGACTCACAAAGGCCAGATGGCTGCAACATTAAATATATCTGATTGCTGATATTTTAAAATTGAGGCATTCTAAAGATACAAACCCGGTATTGTGTGTGGCAGGAATTGGCTGGCCTGGGGGAGCAGCTGCCCCCTCAGGCAGGGGCCCAGCTCTCGAGGTCGGCACAGGCCCCCAGTGCCCGCCTCACTCCTGTTGGGCACCGGCCCGGCCCCTGAAGCTACTTGGGTTTGGACTCCAGCCTCAGGGCCCTTCCCCCAGCACACAGCATTGCACGGATGCTCCAGCCCCTGCAAAGCAGGCCCGCACTGGGGAATAGGTTTGCATCCCGTCCAGCGGCAGGCAAATAGTAGACCGCATTGAGCGTGTTCCTCTTCATGGAACCTGGAGGGGTTTTAGGAAGAGTGTCGCTTTAAGAAAACAGCGTCTCCTCATCTGTCCCCAGGGTCCTGTCACCTCCTGAGCGCACTGGAAATTTCCTAGGCTCAAGGGCGTGCATCAGCCACCCCCACGGAGGGAACTTGGCCTCCCCACTGCATGAAGGGAGATGGCGCGGGAAGTGGGGCCGCCCTCCGCTGTGGGAGAGGACTTCGGCCCGCACTTCATTTTGCATCTGTCAGTGCGGCGCCTAAGGCTTGGGTGGCAATTGCCGGAGCCAGGTGGAGCCAAGATGGCCTAAACCTCGGGCCTCCCTGCTGCCCGCGGAGCAAGCACGTGGCTGAGCCCCGCTGCGCTCACCGCCCCGTCCTTGCTTTCCAGGGGGTGCCGTCGGGGGCCTGCTGGGCGCCTGGATGACGAGTGGACAGTTTAAGCCGATCCCGCAGATCCTGCTGGAGCTGCCCCCGGCCGAGCAGCAGAAGCTGTTTAACGAGGCCAGCGCCATCATCCGGCACCTGGACTGGGCCGACGCCGTGCAGCTGACCACGCTGGTCATGGGCAGCGAGGCCCTGCAGCAGCAGCTGCTGGCGATGCTCGTGGGCTACATCACCAAGGAGCTACGGGCGGAGATTCGGTACGAGGACTAGGCCGCCCCTGCCAGCGACTCTGGCTGTGCCTTGAGATAACCCTGGGGCTTGTGGGGTTCCACAGGGTGCTGGGGGAGCCTCCACCCGGAGTGGGGTCTCCTGCTGGAGAGGCTACCGCTGTACTGTGACGTGTTCTAGAAATTACTTACCAGCGTGCCCTGGCGGCCCTTTGACCCGGAAGCCGTTGGGAAGCAAGGGCGCGTCCATCTCAGGCCTCAGAGGCAGTTTTCTGCGTTCCCTGTCAGGTGCTTGGGCGTCTGGAGGAAGTCCCCGTGCTCCCAGTACGCTTCCTTCGCCCTCCCTTCTTCCAAGCACCTGTGCAGGAACCGGCCCCTCCGGCCAGGGTCTCAGGACCCCGAGCGACCTGTGCCAGAATCGTGTTTACCTCCCGGGCGTGCTGCGCCCTGCCCACTGACTCCCGAGCGGCTTCCCAGAGGAGGGGGCCAGCTGTTGAGCCAAGCTGCAAGCATGAGGCGCGGTGGGCCCTGCTCCCGCTCGCTACACACCCAGCTCTCCCCCCTGAGAAACCCTGGTCACGCTTGAGTTCGCGTTTCAGATGAAACCGTTTCCTTAGGAGGCGCTGCTCTTTCTGAAGCGGTGGGTTCAGAAGCCGTCTCTAAGAAATGTCCGTAGCCCGAGGACTGCCCTGACCCGTGCTCCAGTGACAATAAATTCTCCTCTGAAGACACTTGCCCACGCGTTTTGTGTACAGCATCTCTAACATTCAAAAGCCTTCGTGGGAGACAACAGGGAAAGTTCCAGAATGAAGACAGCTCCCCTCCTCCACCCAGAGTCCCATGCCTGTCTCCCGCCTGCCTCCCCAGCTGGCCGGGGGCCCCTGTGCTGCCACCACTGTGCACACAGCCCCCAGCCCCTTCTGGCAACCAGAGAGTATCCTGTGGGGGCCCAGGCCCTGGGGCAGGGCAGGGCCTTGGGCACTCTCCCGGGTCCGGTAGGCCTGGAGGCCGTCTTCCAAGCGGACTCTAACCCATGGTGATCCGGGCAGGACCGAGCCTTTGGTTCTGTGGGAGAAACTGCTCTTCCAGCGGCCTCTCCCGTCCCTGGTCAGGAGCCCTAGCACCTAACTCCTGGAGTGGACGGGGCTGGGGGCAGGGGCTGCACAGCTGAGCACGGCTGTGCGTCCTGCCTAGCGAGCCCCTCACAGCCCCTCCCATGGGACCCACAGTGGGGCTGCGCTGCACGCGGCCGTGTGTTAGCTTCTGAGGACATGAGGTTGACCTCTCGGTAGCGTAGGCACAATAAAGTCTTCAGGTTCAGGATGAAGACCTTTTTCTCATTTTGAATGAGACGCCGCGTTCTGCGCTGGCTTGCAAGCCCTCCTCCATGGACGCTCGGGGCTGCACGGCGCTCCCTTCCTGTAGCTGGCCACTGCTCTCACGGCCAGGGCCAGGCCGCACAGGGCAGACGCAGTCCCGCGGTCCTGTGTCCAGGGAGCCCCTCTCCCCGGGAAGAACACCCCAGAGGAGTGGGCCGGGCCCCGACCGTGGACAGGCAGGACTGGGGGTGGCCCGGTAGCTGTGTGCCCCCACCCTGCTGCTGTGCTCTCCTGGATGCGCCCCAGGCGCTCTGCCCGCTCTGCAAGCCCCCCTGCCGGCCCTGGAGGGTTACATTTCTGTGTCTTTGCAAAGATGGATTTATTTGTTTTTGGATAGCGAACATTGGCCTGGCACAACTGTTACAAGGTGCCAGAGGGTTCAAACTGAGGAAGGCGCCTCCCTCCCCAGCAGACCCTGGAGGCAGCCACTACTGCCGTTACTTACGCATTCTCTTAACGGTTTTACAGTAGCCTTGCACGTTTCCTTTGTCAACGTTTATTGCTGAAAACCTGGAAAAAGCTGGTCAAATAAAACTCAGTACAAATTCCAGCACCCCAAGAACCCCTGCTAATGAAGTTGGCATCTTTCCTGTGTGTATGTGTAACACATCTGCATCCCTACTGTACTCGCCTTTTGGGGCACACATCTCCATCACCGTTACACAGCACCATCCACGTAGTTTCAGATCCCCGGAAACCTTGGCAAGGGCTGCGCAGTGTTCCACGGGGTCTGCCCTCATCCCCGGCGGTGTTTCCCATTGCGAGTGTTTACTGTCACAATGCTGAGTGAACCCCTTTGTGTGACTTCTCTGCATGGCTTAGATCAGCACAGTTGGGCGTCATCAGAATGAAATTACTGGATTAAAAAGCGGGCAGTTAAAAAGAAGTGTCTTGGGGCTGGCTCTGTGGTGCAGTGAGCTAAGCCTCTGCCTGTGGCACTGGCCTTCCATGTGGGCGCCGGTTCATGTCCCAGCAGCTCTACTTCCGGTCCAGCTCTCTGCTGTGGCCTGGGAAAGCAGTAGAAGATGGTCGAAGTGCCTGGGCCCCTGCACCCATGTGGGAGACCTGGAGGAGGTTTCTGGCTCCTGATTTCTGGCTTAGGATTGGCTCAGTTCCAGCTGTTGCAACCAACTGGGGAGTGAACCAGCAGATGGAAGACCTTTCACTCTGTCTCTCCCTCTCACTGTCTATAACTCTACCTCTCAAAGTGTTTTTAGTCTGGTTTTTTTTTTTTTTTTAAGATTGATTTATTTATTTGAAAGTCAGAGTTACAGAGAGAGAAGGAGGGGCAGAGAGAGAGAGGTCTTCTATCTACTGGTTCACTCCCCAGATGGCTGCAACAGCCAGAGCTGGGCTTATCTGAAGTCAAGAGCCAGGAGTTTCCTCCGGGTCTCCCACATGGGCTCAGGGGCCCAAGGACTTGGGCCATCTTCTACTGCTTTCCCAGGCCATAGCAGAGAGCTGGATCAGAAGTGGAGCAGCCGAGACTGGAACCGGCCTCCATATGGGAGATTGACACTTAAGGCAGTGGCCTTACCCGCTGCACCACAGCACCATTCCCTGTTTTATTTGTTTATTGGAGAGGGCAGAGAGAGAGAGAGAGAACTTGCTCTCATCCACTGGGTCACTCCCTAAATACCTGCAATGGCCAGGGCTGGGCCAGGGCTGATCCAGGAGCCAGGAACTGAATCTTGCTCTCCGTGTGGGGAACGGAACCCAATTACTTGAGCCATCACCGCTGCCTCGCAGCCTGTACACTAGTGGGCCGTGGGGTCAGGAGCCGTGAAAGGGGCCTGGTGTCTTAAATGGCATCCTCCTTGTGACATCCCTCCCCTCGGGCAACACTCCTCCCCCAACAACAGGGTTTGCGGGCGCCCTACTCACTGCACCCTTGCGCCGAAAGAGCCTCGTTCCGTGGGTGATCGCCGCCGTCCAGGTTTGCTTCCTTTGTCTTTGGGTTATAAATGGGGTCGACAGGCCTGTGGCGGGGCTGCTGCCCTCCCGGGACCTGCAGAGCCCCTCACCCCCCGCAGCAGGCTGCCCAGTGGTGCTGCGCGCCCCAGCGTCCCCGTGCGGCGGGCCTGGCCCTCGCAGCGGGCACCATCGCCCAGGGCCGGCCACAGGGTGCCAGGGTGACCAGGCCACCTCGGTGCAGGCCGCCCGTGCCCTCGAGCAAAGCCGTCCACCGGCTGTCTGCTGTTCACCTGCTTCGGGGGTTCACAGGACAGCGCCGAGCGAGGTGCTCTCTGGCAGCTGCTGTAGTTCCTGCCGGCATCCGGCCGGGGGTGTGGCGGGGAGAGGGGGCGGCGGCCGGCCCGCCGGTCCTCCCGTCCGTGGTTGGGATGCGCCCCCTCGTGGGCGAGCGGAGCACTGCCTGGCCGCCCTTCCCCCTTGGTCACCGCTGGCCCCAGAGGTCTGGCCTCCGGAGGGAGGGGCCTGAGCTCCCGCATCAGCCCTGTGTCCCGCAGCCTTTTTACATTTAAAGCAGAACGCCGCTGGATGCTGAGCCACCAAAGAATGGCAATTAAGAAACCCCAGGCTTCCTCTGGAGGTGTAGGGGAGCCCCTGCTGGGGTCAACATGCTGGGAGGAGGCTTGGGGGTCCCAGCCTCCAGGTCAGCCACAGGGACCCCCCAAATTCTGGTAAGTAGAGGAGATTGAGAGGTATTTCCAAACGACTGACATAGCCATGGGTTGTAAGAGGACTTTCCTTATTCTCAGTATCAATTAAGTACAAGTGTGATATCTAGCAGGTATCTGTGCCAGTTTATGAGAAAAAAATTAAATACAAGTGATCAAGCCCAGAGCTGGCAGGGTTGTGTGTACACACACACACACACACACACGCATGTCCATGCAGGGATACATGAGGACATGGTGTTTAGGGAGTGATTTGTGGGGAATTTACAGGGACCATCAAATTGTGTATACGTTTCAGCCAATCAATGTCACGTCCAGAAAAGCATCCCAAGAAAATAATTGCAGTGGACAAGAAGCAAAGATACCAAGAGCGCTGCTGTTTGCAATAGCAGGAAGAAAGGGAGCCAGTGCCAGAGCTGGCCGGCAGGGGCGCTGTTACTGTGACTGTGGGCAGTGGTGGGACACGGGAGCCCCTGCAACAGTGAGGAGTGGGCAGGTGCCTGGAGTGGCGCGGCCGGCCACACAGTCATACCTGTGTGCCTGGGAGCAACGGGAGGAACACAGTGGCGCTGGTGGCTCTGGGCACTGCCAGCCTGGGACACTGTGGCTCGCAGGGGGCAGAGTGCAAAGCGTGGACATCTCGTGCTGAGGGGGCTCTGAGGTCTAAAATGCGAGTCATGGGGTTGGCGTTGTGGCACAGCAGGTTAGGCCACTGCCTGCCCCTCTGGCATCCCATATGAGCGCTGGTCAAGTCCCGGCTGCTCTGCTTCCGATCCAGCTCCCTGCTAACGCACCTCGGAGAGCAGTGGAGGATGGCTCAGGTACTTGGGCCCCTGCCACCCACGTGGGAGACCCAGATGGAGTTCTAGGCTCTTGGCTTTGGCCCATCCCAGCCCCAGCCACTGGGGCTACTTGGAGAGTGAACCGGCAGATGGAAGATTTTCTCTGTCTCTTCCTCTCTGAAACTCTACCTTTCAAATAAATGAATTAAAAAATATTTTTAAAAATGTGACTTGTTTATGTGTTCCTAAACCACACAGAAACCAGCTTTGCCAGACTTTTGGAGAGCTGGACACACACTTCCAACTTCTGGGTCTGCCTCCCAGGGACATTCAAGGCCACCATGACTTGAGAGCAGCCACAGCCTGGTGCTGCCCACATCCCATTAAGTCCCAAAGCACAGCCCGGGTTCCTTGTGCCTGTGCGCATTGGAGGTGCGAGGGCGTGGGGCCCTCTCTGACGGCGGCACTACCCAATGGAAATGCAATAGAAGTGCACACAGGAGCCCCATCTGCCACTTGAATGGTCTGATAACCACCTTTCTCAGAAGTGAGAGCCAACAGGTGGAATTAGCTGAACAATATACTTCATTTAACCCCATATGCTATCATCTGTGCATGCAATCAACGTGAGATTACTAATGAGACATTTTCACAGGAAGCCTTTGAATATGCTGCATATTTAACGAGAACAGCACGTTTCAGTTCTGACGAGCTAGGTGTCAAGCCACATGTGGCCTGCAGCTGCCATATTTCCCACCTGGGCGGTCAAGGAGACAGCGGCTTCCTGTAAGGGGCAGGAACTTCCTCTGTCCCTGTTGTCTGTTGGGAGGTGCTAGGGGCTGGGTTGTGGCTCCCGGGTTGACACTGTAACCTCTCGCGTGACTGCGGCTGGAGATGGGACTGAGGGAGAGCGTTAGGTCTCATGGG